TGGTGACACGTCGTTTTCAATACTGCCTATGTTTACACCAGACATGGCAATTTCGGTCGGCCGGCCGCGGCCGACCGGCCGACGGCCGCATTAGCATAAAAAAATCGGCCGTTTCCGGGCCGCCGACTCTATGCAAATGACTTCCGGTCGGCCGATCGACCGGCCGACTTTTTTGGTCGGCTCGGCCGCGGCCGCGTCGGCCGGCCGACAATTCACACTTGAGAAAAAGTTTCACAGAAACGTGTCGCTGGCGCCTCTAAATTTTGAATAAATAAGGAATGGGTTTGGGCATTGGTTTTCACTATTCCCTAGGATGCCTGCCTACCAAATTTTATTTAAAAATCTTTATTTTATGTGGGGGAAACGTGCTTTTTTATGTCAACACTGAATTTTTTGGAAGGTTGCCAGCTTCAAATATAATATAAATATATTTGTAGTTTCAAGTAACGCAAAAATTTAGTCAGGATCTTTCTATGACGAGTGGGCCTTTAGTTTCCTGAATCTTTTTTGTATGAATCGTTTTGCGGCGATGAAGCAATTAGTGATGACCAGGGTTGAAAAACCGCTTCGCGGCTTTTCAACCCTGGCCCCGTCCCGATCCCCAAACGGTCTCCACTTTGGATAGTTCTGGCCAAACCCGCTTGGCAAAAAATGAAAACGATCTCCTTTGCTGGCTTATATAGGCGTCAACCGCTTCCGGCGAATGCAAATTCTTGTTTAACAAAGTTGTGTGACCGAATTTTAGCGAAAATCTACAATTTAATATCGAAAATAGCTTTTTTTGTAAAATCTGGTAGGTCGGCATTCATGCCAAGCCGATTTCACACCTAATGACATATCTCCCATACCTTAAAAACCTTCCCCTGACCCGATACGTGTGGAACAGCGGACGGAAGTTGCATGCAAATGCACACACACAGACACTATTTTTTTATATATAGTAGGATAAAGCAAAGCAACAGCCACGTCAAATCCGTTGTAATCACCTCTAACCCTAGACCGTTACAACCCCATTTTAACTAATTTCCTCACAAGGAGTGTCCTTTAGTGTCATCGGCAAACGATTCGTGACCCGCTCATTCGATAGAGAATTGAATTCTGAACAAGACTGTGTTGTTCATTTTTGCGGAATGGTTGTCCCTGATTTTATAGAATTAAAAAACCAAGCGCGAAGCCTTAACAACGCGCTCCCCAAGCACCAATGCATGGGCGTCGCCGGCAGTTTTTTAATTTTATAAAATTAGGGACAGCCATTCCGCAAAAATGAACAACACAGTCTTGTTCAGAATTCAATTCTCTATCGAATGAGCTGGGTCTCGAACCGTTTTGCCGATGACACCAAAAGGACACTCCTTGTCAGTCTAAACATTTTTGGCCAAGTAAATCCCTTCATTAGCATCCAAAAATCTAATTTGGTTGCGGGTTTTCGGCCGTTTCCGGGCCGCGCGGCCGGCCGAAATTTCGGCCGGCCGATTTGGCCGCGGCCGCGGCCGACCGGAAATGGCGGCCGGCCGATTTCGGCCGGCCGCATTCTAATTTTTTCGGCCGAAAAAGCCGATCGGCCGGCCGATTTGCCATGTCTGGTTTACACCAAATGTTAGAGAGATGTTAACTTTGAATCATTTACTTGTTTGTGTTTTCTCTCACGCTCTCTCACTAGCACTGGTTCTGGTACTCGTTTCTTTTTCGTTGCTTTGGGGCTGTGTTGCCTGACCGAAGGCTCGCAACAAACGGGGCGCTTTGCGCGGTCATTTGTTATCTATCGGGACAAATCTCCGGTAAACGGCCGGGAGGGGAGCCAACGTTTGGGTAAGGGCAGGCGGCTAAGTTTGGGAACACGGATATCTAGCCGGGGGATCTCAGCCGTCTGAAAAACGGCAAAACCTCTTGATGTTGTGAACTTTTGGTTACGGTATTTTGTGAAACGGGTGAAAAAGTGAAAGTGAAAAAGGAGGGGTTGCTTAAAAAAAAGATTTATTCTGAAAACGGTTAGCTTCAGTTACGTGTGTTCGCTGTTGGTTTTCGGCTTCGGTCATGGCGGGAAACGGGCTGCGACGTTGCGCTTCTGGCAGTCGGTGCAGACATAGGTCTAAATTTTAGGGCTCTCTAGAGTGCGTGTTCGATACCTTGAAGATGTTCTGCGCGGCTTTCGAGAGGTTTTTAGTCATTTCCGTGCAATTGGCGCAGATGTATATTTTCAGGTGGTCGGCGTTTTCGGGCTTGACGGCAAGTTGGCGCTGGGTCTGAGTTTTTTGTTCAGTATGGCTGACAGGCAGGGGTTTCCTACCATGAAGCTGGAGTCGTAAGTCGAGATGGCGGGCATGTTCTTGTTTCAGGAGCTCTAGTTTACAGGGTCGAGGATTGAAGTGGGGCAGTGCCTCACAACGTGTTTTATATTTTAGAAAAAGGGGTGTGGTCAGGTCTAGCCACGCCCAAAATTTTAATGTAATAACTTTCACTTTTTAAGAATTTGTACTTTGTGGTGGGGTGACGTCAGCGAGAGGTTACTTGACTTTCCTACTCAGGCTCTGAAGTTTCGACTTAGATTGTTGGATTACAGACAGTTTTGAGGGCGGGACAATTTCTAGATGGCGGGATTAGATTAGGCATGCTTAAATACACCCGTTCAAACCGTGGTGCTGTAGTTTTACACGTGTTTTTTCTTTTCAGCTTTTACGGGTTTCTTTTTCTCTTCTCTTTTGAGGGGTGAACCAGCGAGCAGCAGCTCTTTTTAGAATGGCTGGTTGGACAGGCCCGCCCTCTCAGCGCCCCGCCCCTGTGTTCGAGCCCCAAATCCCCGCACGGTATTTTCCGCCGGGTTTTTTTTTTTGTCAATTTTTTCGGTCTTAGCCCCCCAGAGCCACGACCGGTGCCGGTTTTTATTTTCCGACCAGCCCGTCGGCAAAATGGGCCAGTGGCACCCCATTGGGCCCCAGCGCCTCCTCGACTCCCCAGGTCCCTTCAGTTAGCCCGACGGCTCGGGGTCTGCGTTAGTGCCCTATTTTCAGTTGTGTCTTGTTTTTTTTGGTTTTCTCTGTTTTCTTTTCGTTTTCAAAGTTCTAAAATAATAAAAAATTTTAGCTTGAGGACCTCGAAATCTCGACCTCGAAGATGGACCTCGAAATGGTCTATCGCCTCAACCAAAGATTAAAAGCGATGAAAAAGGAGGTGGACAGCAACCACAGGCTTCTCTTGGCTTTTCTCGAGGTAATATTTCACATGTTTCAATTGAGTAGTTTTTGTTTAGGAGAATATCCGCCTGCTCAACAGAACACCACCGGCGAGCGACCAACACCACCAAAAACCCCCAAAAACCCCGCCAAAATGCGTCTGGTCTTCTCCGGAGTCGGTCACGGTAGTTTCCGTAGTTTTTCAAAACCTTGGTTTAGACCCCGTTTACCTCGTGATGTGCCAATCTCCCGCAACACCACCGAGGCCGGGACCAAGCAGCACCCCGACAGCTCCAAGACGCCCGTCGGGGCGAAGGGTGAGTTTTGTTTTTCGATTGTTTGTAAAAAAAATGTTCTCACACCGCTTGTTTTTTTAGGGGACCCCTAAAAGACTGGCTGACAAGAGGGACCAGAACCTTCAGGATTCGGATGAGGTTTGTTTTCTGCTGGTCTTTCTAAAGATGTTTACGTATCAAGTTACTAGTTTTTTAATTTTCAGGAGCAGCGGAAGAAGGAACGGAAGGAGGGGGACACGGACGTGGAAGTGGTTACCCTTGATTGAAGATGATCACCCTCCGCCAGTTGTTGTCGATGAATAAATAGTTAGAAGAAAGAGGCGTTTTTAAGTTTAATAGGTCTGCAACCTTAATTCTGTCTGTTTGGGGATGGAGAGGTGGGGGGGCAGAGAGAGAGAGAGCGAGAGAGTGAGAGTGAGAGAGGAGAGAGCAGAGAGCAGAGAGAGAGAGAGGGGGAGAGAGGGAGAGAGGGGGGAAAGGGAGGGGCGGAGGAGAGAGGTGGGGCTGAGGAGAGAGGAGAAAGAGAGAGAGAGAGAGAAAGAGAGAGAGGGAGAGAGAGAGAGAGGAGAGAGAAAAACACAGAATTCCAGAAGTGGCCGCAGTGGCACTGGAGCTGGTGGGGATGGTGGTGGTCGTGGTGGTGGTGGTGCCACACCCGTAACTGGACCGATGCACAAAACGGTAAAGAGGAGTGCAAAAACCAGCAGGGACGGGGTGAGGGGGGGCAACAAACGGAAAGGTGAAGGTAAAGGAAACAGTGAAAAGAGAGAGAGAGCGAGAGAGAGAGAGAGAGAGAGAGAGAGAGAGAGAGAGAGAGAGAGAGAGAGAGAGAGAGAGAGAGAATTTCTAGGTGGACGGGGTGCGCCGAGTGAGACCTTGACGGAGACGCCTGCGGAGGGCTCTGAGAGAGCCGGGGTGACAGAAAGCAGACCGCGCTCTGTCAGCCCGAGAGCCGAGACCCCGATCGGTGGGTCTTATCGCCGGGCAAGGATCGTCTTATAGATGTGGAGACGGTCGACGAGACACCGGAAGAAAGAAGGGGTGGAACGGGCCTCGTCACCGGTTTGTTCGGTGCGGATTCGCCCGAAAAAAGTTTTTTATAGCTGAAGGGGCTTGGGAGAGAGTGAGACTGGCCGTCTTCAGCACTCGGGGACAAGGGTGAGCAGTTTTTGAAGAAAATCTGACTGGCCAAGTCCTAGGTTTTGAGATTGAGCTAACTCGGCAGTGAGTTAGGTTTTTCAAAACTCTGCAATGGGTTGCCGATGTTGTCATCGACCCCGTCAGGGCGCCACTGATCTTTGCGCAGGCCTTGCAAGAAGCGATACGCCGAATCCACGAAGCCTTTGGGGTGCTGCCCGGTGAGCTTTTTCTAGCGGTTTCGAAGCGGAGCGAGGGTTTTATTGCCTGTCTTTTCAGTCCGACGAAAGACTGAGCGCGTCGGTGTCCAGCTCCTGCATGGCCTCAATGTCGTCGGGGCGAGACATTTTCCTGTGCTCCCGACCCCAGAGGCAAGTCACAGCCCGTGAACTGCTCGATGTTATCGAGCGGCGGGGTGCAGAGCGGCGACAAATTGCCCAACATGCGCCACTTTCAAGTCAAGGTTCGTAGAAAAATAGCCTACTCATCTAAAAGTTTTGAGATGACACTGGTCCATAAACCGGTAGCTGGTTCTTTTCGCGCGTCGTTTCCACATGCGGACCCGTCGGACGTGAACACCTGCTTTCCGGTGGCGCTGAAACTGCTCAGCCATTTCGGCGAGTTGGTTGAGATGTGGGATCGTTTCGAAGGCGCGACAACAGTCATCGCTTTAAACACGCGTATGCTTTTTCAGACAGCCATAACGTTTTAATAGATGGGCTCCGAAAGGAATGGGACCGTAAGCTGGCTGCTGCTAAGGAGATTTTCCTCAACTGCAATACGCCACACGTCGTTGACTCGGCGGTCCGGTTTTACCGCACACACATTGACGCCCGCGTATGATCGAAACCTGCCTGTAGGACTGGCATGTTTTGAAAAAGCTTTTTAAAGGTGCCACTTTCTGAGGTTCGCGGAGCTCTAGAGCGGTTCAAAACCGTCCGTGGTCTACGTGTTTTCCTCATGGATCGGAGGTGTGCGTGTTTTTCCTGTGCAACTCGTGCTTTTCAGCGGTAACTTGCTTCCGGAAAGCCCGTTATATACCGATGCTACGGGGCCTGTCTTGAACATGTTGTTTGACGAGCGAGACGGGCATGTGATTCCAATTGTTGGCTCCCTGAACAGCCAGCCATGGGTGAGGGTGCTGCCGGACAGCAGTGAAGAGCGCTTCTTTCACGAATTCCAGTGCCGCCGTGGATGGATGGTGAGCAGTTTTTGTGCTTCCTCACGCTGAACGGCTCCAGGGGGTGAAAAAACGTCATCTACGCTGCCGGCTACGCTGTCGATTTTGCTGGGGTGGAGTTGAAGACTGCCAGTCGGTGGCTGGGCATCAGGGTACACGATGCCACAGCTGTTCGGTGGTGTTTAACAACCCGGAACTGCTACCATCACCATAAAACGTCCGGTGCTTGCTACCATAGGTGTGCAGGTTTTTTTGCAGTAGTTTAGCCTGAAGCGTAGGTTTCACTGTGCAAGGTGTGGACTGGCTCCAACGACGGTTCGAGGAAAGGACGCATGTGTAAGCTTTTCTTTTTAAAGCGGTGACTTGGTTCAAGGTGTGGACACTTTTGGTGTCTGACATGCCGAGAAACGGTCGAGACAGCGGGACATAACTGTATGTTTAATCCCTATCTGGACAAGGACGCCGCTAACGCTAGAAGTCAAGTTTACAAGTCGGCTAAAGGTTTTTTTTGACTTTGAACTGGTTATTTTCGATTTATTTTTTTCGACACCGAGACACAAACAACTGCGTATGACGCGCAAGGACGACTGCAGGCTACCGAAGGCACATTAGTCACAAATGCAAGTTTTCAGAGCCCGTAGGAACAAAGTTTCGGGTGGTTGTGTATACACGTTGTGAAGGTGCCCGGATGACCGGTTTTGACTTTGGTTAAAGTGCAGGTTCATGTTTAGTTTTTGGGCGGCCGCCTAGTGCGGGGGTGGAAGCTATGGGCCCCGGGGTCAGCAATCTGCCAGCCGACTCGCGCGTAGGGTTGTTTCTCGGAACAGACCGAGATTCGGAACTTTCGGAACAAAGCTGGCCGGAACGTTCCGAGATTCGCGTGTTCCGGCTGTTCCGAGATTCGGAACATTCCGAGATTCAAATGTTGCGGTTGTTCCGAGATTCATAGTGTTCCGGCTGTTCCGAGATTCGGAGCGTTCCGAGATTTGGCTGTTCCGACTGTTCCGAGATTCGGAACGGTCCGAGATGACTGTTCCGAGATTCAATTTTTTTCGCATGTAAATTTCGATTTCGTGTAAATTGTGTAGATTGCAGGTAACTGTTTCGATTTTGCCGTGACACGGCAGTGTGGGCACAACTGAACACTTGAATTCCGTCGATGGTTAGATATCAGATCCGGAAATTAGGGAAATGAGAACGAATTGGGGATCGAATCGAATCGAGGAATTCAGTCGTGTTTGGAAATTTACATGCGAAAGATTTGAATCTCGGAACAGCTCAATCTCGGACTGTTCCGAATCTCGGAACAGCCCAAGATCAGGCAAATCTCAGAACGTTCCCGATCTCGGACAGCCGGAACTACTATGAATCTCGGAACAACCGCAACGTTTGAATCTCGGAATGTTCCGATCTCGGAACAGCCGGAACACGCGAATCTCGGAACGTTCCGACATTCGGGTTTGTCGGAACGGTTGCTGTTCGGATGTTCCGAATCTCGGCCTGTTCGGGCGAAACAACCCTACTCAGCGCGACCGTGAAATCAACGTGAAGCGCAGGGGTGGTACCGTGGAAACTGCGTCGACTCGCTACGGTAAACAGCGTTGGTTTTTGGGGTTACCGTTTTACAGTTTCTCTTCGTTGCAGCCAGGACGGCAGCTTTTTGCTTTCTCCCACTCACTCTCTCGCTCCTCTCTCTAATGATTCATGTATTTAAGCATAAGAAAATAATGCCCTCCACCCGAATAAAAGGATAATGATGATGATTCCACAATGGCAAATCAATATATGCCCCCACACAACATCGCGCGGCGGCTCCAGCGCACGGTTTTTCCCCGAAATGCCATCTATCCCCCATTCCGCAAAGCGATTCGGAAACAGCTCTAGATTCTCTCTCTCTCTCTCTCTCTCTCTCTCTCTCTCATTTCCTTTCACACTCACTTTCTCTCTCTTGCCTATAACTTCGCCGTCAAGCGAATTCCAGTTTCGGGCAATATTACTATTATTGACGGAGTGTCATTTTATTTCCTTCATAGTTCTTTCGATTCCAGGCTCCAGCCCCTATTTGGGTGATTATTCCGAGCCATTAGGCGCCTTCTTCAACGAGAGCGCCATATCGGTGTTGAAATGTTCAGCATCGATCAAATTGTTTCAAATTCTTCATATAAGAGGCAAAAAGCAGGAGAGAGGGTTGAAAGGTCGAGTTGATTTGGACAGTAAATTATCAGACCGCCAAAGCTGTGTTTTGTAATCATTTCCTTAAGCTTAGGTGCGCCACGCACCTGGGAGTAGTCAATGTTTGGAACGAGAAAAATTTTCTGGGTTGGGTGTCACGAGCTCTGAAAAACCATGACCACTTTTCGCTCGGGTCTGAAGAATACCAGGTAGCTAAAAATTACTACAAAAGGCTTATCCCCGAAAGTTATATGGCTGAAGGGAATTAGCCTCCGACAGGTTTTCATCGATCAAAACGCTAAAATCAAGGTGAACCTCTATCGAAACCTCATTCTGGAGCCAGATGTGATGCTTTGTAATCAAAATAATCCAGTGTATTGCCCTTCAACAGTATCGGGCTCGGGGCTGGGGCCCAAAAACCACAATTCGTCATTTTCACCCGAAAATCGACGCTTTTATGACGAAGGTTATATGACCTGCCAAAAACCAGATCGTAATCCATTCGAGTTTTCTCTGCGGGAATGCGCAAACACGAGCCAAGGACCCAGAACGTCAAGAATATGGTTAATCTCTGCACCAAGGGAGTTCTCTGGATTTTGGCAAAATAGACTCACATGCCCGCAGCGCACAGCCATTGTTTAGGATAGCCTCATTTGGAAGCGTAAGTCAAAGCAGATAGATGTCAGGTTAAAGTTTGTTACAACGGCGAATATTTAGCTTTTACTTGTTATAAATAATTCGGTTTGGTTACCTTCGTGCTTTCCTTTTACTCCCAGACCTTATACTTTTTCCGGATACTTATCAGCCACCCTGTAGAGCGACCCCACTTCCAGTCGGAGTCTCATTCTTTGCTAGCCTTAGTATTTTACAAAAACTTAAATTTAATATCGAAAAGGGATAATTTTTAAATCGATATTTGCCTTGCAGAGGTCGCATAGGGATTATGCCCCTTTGACATATGACATACGAAGTGGATCCAAAGTGGCACAGGGAACACAGACACTACCTTTTTATATATAGTAGGAGATTTTCAGCTTAACAAAGGAGCTCTTAGTGTATTTTTTTGATGCTCTATCAGATGGTTTGAAGAGTTGCCGGAAAATAACTATCGTCATTCGTGCCATCGATCAAATCCCCCCCTCCTGCACAGTTTTCCCCCCGCGCGAAATAGACCAGAACCCCCAATCCCGGCTTAAAGCGGCCTCGTAAAAATAAGAGAGTCAAGCCCTCCTTTCGTTCTCACCTCCACCTCCACATCAGGCATGTTATAATTGCTCCCCTAACGAAGAGCAGCGATTATTTATGCAAAAGGTCATTTATTAGCAAAAATAGCAAGTTTTCAAAGAAGCGGGGTGGAGGCTTTTCAGAGCGATGTTCAGATCCTCTCGTTCATCCAGAAGCTGCTCAACGACCCAGCGACGGCGTTTGCCTTTTGGCGGATGGCAAACTCATTTAACGTAACTGGATCTCCCTGCTTGATTCCCAGCGCCGTCACCGTTTTGGGCTTGCTGTAAGTGGCTGTACCGGCATCAATCGTGACTACAGCTTCTAGTTTTTCCTTCGACACAAGGGAAGTTGGAATTGGTAATGAATGACAGTTCATCCAGCCCAGTTCTTGCGCTGATTCCGAATCTCTAGTCAGTTTCTGCCCTCGCCAGATTTCTAGCGGAATATTCGGTATTTTATGCCCGAAAATCCCCATTTTGGTCCAAATAGCGGCCGGGATTCGCGATTTTTCTGCCTTTTGCGAAACCTCGTGGACGTGACTGCGACTAAGGCGAAGCCACTAAAAACATTGTTGATTTTTCAATAGTATTTTTAGGTTTCTGCCGAAAACTCTCGAAAATGCATCAAAATGCGAACAGGTGTATCGTGATGGATTTCTGGTCAGCAGATGACCGAACTGGAGGTTTTTACTACCCGCTTGGTAATTGACCATTTCACGCGTAAGTAAGGAGCTTTTTGCCAAAGCACGGAAACATAAAGCTCAAAAAGCTAAAGACTAAGCGAACCATCTCAATCCAAATTTTCTCCGGACCACTAGAAGTGGCTTGTTCTTGAAGCCACCCAGTACACAGCAATTTTCAGCTTCTTCGCAGGCGAAATCAAGCTGCTGGACGTGCGCATTATGTCAGCGGCTGGCTACAATGCGTCGAGGTCAGCTGCTCCATGGAAAACAGCTACCACTCCCGCCAAGTTCGGAGGTTGGTGCCAGGTTTCCTGAAAGCCGCACTTCCCCATCGAAGCGCCCAGCTCTACGGACAACCTTTATGCCCGTAATAAAGCCCAGGAGGTTGTCACGCACGTGAAAACTTCTAACGTAGATTATAGAGGCGCCAGATTTCCAAAGCTAGATTTTGAGAAGATGCGTGATGGGACGGGGCGAAGGAACAGTTCTGTTCGATTTCGAGCAGCAGGGAAACTTGTGGTAGAATTTTCTTGAGCAAAACTTCAACATTTTCGCTATTTACGACGGGTTTTCAATGCCACTACAAGTTCAGCTTGCGTGACTGAGAAAGCATGCTGGTTTTTCGATATTTTCGCTATTTTTTTTTTTACTTTTTTTTTTTTTTGTATTTTTGAAAACCATCGTTCGATAGAGCTAATAGAAAAACAAAAACTATACTAATAGTTTTAATTTGATTTTAAAACAGCGTAAAATAAAATATTGATACCAAGCATAAAATTTAAAAGCGTTTTCCACAGCCCAGACATGAAAGTACGAAAAACAAGTTTTTTTGACATTTTCCAATCTTTAGAAAATTTCTTGTACGTCATTCGAACATCGAAAAATCTACAGAACAGTTTTAATCACAACTCAAAATCACGAATTATAAAATATCTATAGAAAAGAAGTAGTTCACCGCAACCCCGGGCAGAGTTTCCCCTGCCCGAACTAATAGAACAGTACCGAAGCGACAGCTGTGTCGCAGGATTGTTGACCAAACAATAATCTCCGGAGATTTGGGCCGATT